GATAATCCATTTGGCAGCGATCATTTCCCCATAATTTTAGAAAGCTCAATACCTCTTCCGTCGCTTGCGATCCGCCTTCCAAAGTGGAAATTAGAGAACGCTGACTGGGCTCTTTTTGGTTTAAATGCCGTACTGGATCCATCGCTCTTTCGCGGTATGTCCCCCGAGGAAGCGACAATGTTTGCCACTGAATGTCTAATTGATGCTGCTGCATCTTCTATTCCTCAAACATCCGGTGTCCTACCCCGGAGATGCAAACCCTGGTGGAATGAGGACTGCACTGTCACTCGCAGGAAACAGAACCAGGCATGGGGTCTATTTCGCCGTTATCCCACTGCTTCTAACCTGATTGAATTTAAAAACTATAGGGCCAAGGCACGTTGGACACGGAAACAGGCGAAGAGGACATCATGGAAAAATATATATCTTCTCTAAATAGCTTTGCTCCACTAAAGAAGTGTGGGATCGCCTGCGGAAAGTTCGAGGAAATTACCAATCTTTCCGAATTCCTTTGTTTTCTTCCCCCTCTGTATCGCTGCAAGATCATGCAAATGTTCTTGGGGAGCATTTTCAGCTTATTAATAGCTCCTCAAATTTTAGCGAAAAATTCAAGAAGTTGCAGTCGACTGTTGAAAAGCAGCCCATCTCGATGTCAGAGGGTGGTTCATATTTTTACAATAGACCCTTCAGAATGTGCGAACTCAAGGCTGCTCTTGGTGCAAAAAAGCAGTCTGCACCAGGGCCAGACAGACTCCACTATGAAATGTTAAGGAAACTGTCCCCTGAATCTATGAACGGTCTGTTAACTTTTTTTAATCATCTATGGCAAGTTGCTGCCTTTCCTCGTTGCTGGAAACATGCCCACATAATCCCTTTTTTGAAACCAGGGAAAGACCCTTCCACTCCTACAAGCTATCGCCCCATCGCACTCACAAGTTGCTTAGGGAAGACTTATGAGCGGCTTGTGAATCGTCGTCTTGTCCATTTCTTAGAGACTGAGAATTTTTTTGATGTAATCCAGTGCGGCTTTCGGGAGGGACGAACGACCACAGATCATTTGGTTCGTCTAGAGACGGCTATACGTGAGGCATTTGTACACCGGCAGCATTGTGTCTCAGTGTTTCTTGATTTGCACAAAGCATATGATACCACATGGAGGTACGGAATACTTCGTGACTTGTACGACTGTGGTGTGCGGGGCCGCATGCTTCAGTGCATACAGAGGTTTCTCAGCGAAAGAACTTTTCAAGTCCGATTGGGCTCCACACTGTCAGATGTTTTCTCTAAAAAAAATGGTGTTCCTCAAGGAGGAGTGCTGAGGGTTACCCTCTTTGCTGTAAAAATTAACAGTCTAGCTAAGGTTATGCCATTATTAGTAAATTACTCTCTTTATGTGGATGATGTGCAAATCTCTGTGTCTTTCTGTAACCTCTCCAGTTGTGAACGACAGTTGCAACTTACAATCAATAGAATGTGTAAGTGGGCAGACGAAAATGGCTTCAAATTTTCTCCTGAAAAAAACAGTCTGCGTTCCTTTTTTCATTACGCCGGGGATTGTCTCTTGATCCTTCCTTGCATCTTAACAGCATTGAAATATCAGTTCAGCAAGAACACAAATTTTTGGGCGTGATTTTTGACAAGAAACTTACCTTTGTGCCCCATCTGAAAACTTTAAAACGGAAATGCTTGATGTCATCAAGTATCCTAAAGGCGCTGTCGCATATGTCGTGGGGTTCTGATAGGCGCTGTCTCCTGCAACTGTATAACTCCTTAGTTCAATCCCGCCTCGACTATGGTGCAGTAGTATACCCTTACAAAAATGATCAATGAGTTTGAATTGACTTTCTACTGTGTTCCTATAGAGTCAATTGAAACAGTATAAACTCAACGTCTATTGAGTTTGATCATTAGAAACTCAATATCGATTCTATTGATATTACTCATTAGGAATGCAATTGAGTTTGATCATTAGAAAATCAATATCGATTCTATTGATTTCACTCATTAGGAATGCAATTGAGTTTGATCATTAGAAAATCAATATCGATTCTATTGATTTCACTCATTAGGAATGCAATTGAGTTTGATCATTAGGAAATCAATATCGATTCTATTGATTTCACTCATTAGGAATGCAATTGAGTTTGATCATTAGAAAATCAATATCGATTCTATTGATTTCACTCATTAGGAATGCAATTGAGCTTGATCATTAGAAAATCAATATCGATTCTATTGATTTCACTCATTAGGAATGCAATTGAGTTTGATCATTAGAAAATCAATATCGATTCTATTTATTTCACTCCTTAGGAATGCAATTGAGTTTGGTCATTAGAAAATCAATACCGATTCTATTGATTTCACTCATTAGGAATGCAATTGAGTTCGGTCATTAGAAAATCAATATCGATTCTATTGATTTCACTCATTAGGAATGCAATTGAGTTTGGTCATTAGAAAATTAATATCGATTCTACTGATTATACTCATTAAGAATGCAAGTGAGACAGATCATAAGAAACTCAATATCGATTCTACTTATTTTACTCATTAGGAATGCAGTGGAGTTTGATTATTAGAAACTCAATATCGATTCTAATGAATTTACTCATTAGGAATGCAATTGAGTTTGCTCTATTGTGAACTTGATATACATATATTCCTTTGAATTTAATCATTAAGGATGCAATTGAGTTTGCTCATCATGATGAATGCAATATCCATGATGCAAACGAGTTTTATCGTCAAGAACTCAATATTATTTTAAATTTACTTATTTGCAAAAACCTTTTATCATTAAGAGGTCAATATTTTTTGAGTTTACTCATTAGATATATAAGTTTCATCATTCATTATTTTGAGCTTAGTCACTGGACATGAACTTGAGTTTAATCCCTTGCAACAGACATTTCTTTGTCTCCTCAATAGGGATTCAAAAGAGTTTGTATCAATGAGTAGTTGACATCAGCTGGTTTGTGCTTTCTGCTCTAGACCCCCCCCCCCCCCCCAGCAAGGGTACCCTGCAAAAAAACCAATGCACTTATGTCTCAGAATAAACATTTTTGCTCAGACTCATATGTGCAAACATTGGAATCCAAAACTTGACACCACTGAGAGCCTATAGCTTGCATTATAAAGTCTCTAAGGTAACTGACAAGGTGAGAACAGGGAGGAGCTTCAGTTGTCTCCCCTCAAGCTTGAGTCTTCCCTTCGAAAATGCTTCAACATCTCGTGCACATCCAGCACGCGCATACTGCCAAAGCATGGTGGAAGGCATAGAGCGCGCGCTGAAGGCCGGGTGTTTGAAAGACACGCCATGCCGCTCTCGCTCACTCTGTGAAAATAGTAACATCATTGAGTTTAAATATTTGAAAGCGAACAACTCTCATGCCTCATCTATGCAGAAAAGCGATAACACACCGCGGCCAGCTTTATCAAAAGTAGCAGACACATCGGCTGATTTCCATTCTTTGGAGTGGGAACCCACCAAAAACAATGGTGAAAAAAACAAAACAAAAAAAAGCATGAATTTACACTGTGCATTAGGCAGGACAAACAAATTTCTTCAGATGCATCGAAAACATTTATTCACAACTTTACACAATTCATTGCCAGCTAGAATACAGCTAATGCACTTTATTGGGGGCTGCAAAGTCGCACACAGATGAAGCAATGAACCTGGCTTACAATATTTTAGATACAAAGTGCGCACATTCTTTATCACAGCAATGGTACAGCAGCTATCAACCTCAGCACAAAAAGTCAAGCATTGCTTAGGGATGTACATTAATCTTAAGGTTTACATATACCACTAGATGTATGACACTCAGTGTATTCATGAGTATAATGCTGTGAACTTCCATTTTTACATACAAATTAACCCCTTCCAAGCAGCCATATTTTATGCTGCCCATAAAGGAGTAAGCAGCTACCTTAAAATGAACCAAGAATTGATTTGGTGTTTGAAGTTCACTAACTTCTTATCAGTTAATGGAGAAAACAAATCTATAGCACAGGAGGTAAGGAAAATTGCACTGTGAAATTAAAAACAAAAAAACAAAAAACGCTATTTTATTTATTTTATTCCTTAAAAAGATTTCTGCCCGTGATACAAATAGAGAATGCCAGCCTTAATTTAGCTTAGAAATTGGATACGAGATTTCTAAACAAAATAAAGAGGATTGAAAACAATTAAACCAACCCTAGAACAACTTTTGTTGCTTCAGGATATAAACCCTGAATTTTCATAGCATGAAACATAGTACAGCAACAGAAGTAAAGAAAACAAAAACAGAAGACCAGGGACACTGCACTGACTCCCAGCTGTCATATTAAATAGAAATATATATTAAAATAAAGACAGAAGAAAAAAACTATGCCACAGAAAAACACAAAAAATAAAAATGCTCCATTAAGCACCAGTGCAGAGACAAGATGTGACACACATGCAAGAGATATTCCACGTCAGATTTTGCCTTGGGATAAGGTAACTTGTTCAAAATACAAATGTGCAATTGTCGTTTATGGTTGTGGTCAATCCTACCAAAACGTCCCTAGCAAGTGCCCACTTAAAATTTGGAGATAATTGCAAAATTGTACAGACCTAGCATTAACCTTCAAAACTTGATTAGTGTCATTAACTTCAACAAACTGAAAAAATTTGCCCTCACTGAACCTACTCAGTACGTTGTTTTGAACATGTTGTGCTCTTACATACAAATCAACTTCCTTTAAGCAATCACATTCTGTGTGGTCTTTCGAGCAGTAGGCGACTATCTTAGTAATGCGACCAAAGACACCATCTGCCACAACGTAAGAATTTTTCCTCCGAGATTTGTCCAGTTCAGCAGTGCAGAGCTTAAAACAAATAATTTCAATCTTTTTGTACTGGCTTCCAACATCCCTAACTTGTCCTTTCCCATAAAAATGAATGAGGCCATTGCGCGTGTACTGGACTTTCAAGTTGTATCCCTTCAGCAGGGCCTTAAATAAGTGGCTTATTTCCCCCCCCCCTCTCCCATTTGATGAGATGTAGATCTCCAAAGTCTTGGTAAGGCCTGGAGCAAAGAAAACTTGTCCACAATTTGCATATGTGGATAACGAGTTCCCTTCACAAGCCGCCCCAGTTTCCCATTAATGGACTCGAAGGGGTATAATGAGTAGCCCCAAGGCGGGCCCCACTCCATTGCACTATCGACAAGATGTATGAGCAGGTGTGTGTTGTATGTAACATGCTCTTTGCCATACAACTCCTGATACTTCTGGACAAAACCAAACATGGTGACCCTAAGGTCTCGGAGCTTTTGAATACAAAGTGATGGACCTAACAGGTAATGCATGATCTCAACAAACTGCATCCAATGGTTGAAATATTTCGAAGGAAGGATTCCTTTCAAAACTACAGGGGAGTAGTACAGCAGCCAGTTTCTCCATTCCGACGATTTCCACTCTTTCATGACATTCAGGGATCTGGGCAGTCTTGACATTTCCCAGATGGGCTGCAAGCCCATCATCTTAGCATCCATATCCCTCATAAAGGGACGCAGGTTAAACGCGTCACGTCGCTTTGCCTTGAACCAGAGAAATGTGGTGGATCGCACGAAGCCTGAACATACGGCATGCATGTAATCTACCACAAAGCCTGTATTAAAGCTAAAAAAAGAAAGTAGTAAAAGAACGCTTGACCCTTTTACACCACAGCTTGGTTCGCCTTTACGCGCTTTGCGGGCATGCTGCGAGAAAGACTCGTGCGTCCTCCTTTTGGGAGGAGCAGCACCGGCTGGGTACACACGAGAATGCCCCTTCCCCTTTTCCACCACCTCGCCGGGCTCCTCACACCATGCACATCCATATGCACCGTTAAACTGTGTCATCTGCATGAGTTCGCACCTTGCAACGGTGTCCACCGTGCAAGGCCCTGGGAATACCTTGGACACTCTGGTATTCCCTCCCTTGTCGGTCCATGAGATGCCACTCGACGACAGCTCATTCAATGCTTTCACAAAGGGCACAAGGAATGTATTCATAGATGGTTTCTCTGAACCAAACCATAGTCCAAACAATTGGAGCTTTTGCATTCGCTCCCTAAATGGAAGTTCATTAACTTGGACAAGCAAGGGCCAAATTCCAAAGTTGCTGCTTTCAAAAAGCGGTACACCATCAGTGTTAAAGGTTACAGTTAGGTCATCTGCACCCAGTGGGAGCCTACTGCAACCAAGACTTTCAGTCACGTCTGTTACATCGTACGACAAACGGTGTTTGCCTAGGATGCTGCCATCGCTCGTCTCAAGCATCTCACGGATTTGGCTAGCAAGATCTAGGGTAAAAAAGTAGGACAACAACTTCACAAGGTCGTTTTCAGAATGCTTCATACCACACTGGTTACAACAGGCCTCACCGTCACTAGGACCTAATTCTCCAATGTAACCCATGCAGCTGCTACAGTAGAAATGCCTAGTCTTCCTACCCACACTTCCAGCAAAATGCTTGAAAAAGCAGTATTTTGTTGTAGGATACTTTGTATCCTTTGGTAGATGAGAGTCAATCAGCTTGAGTACGCTCTCCGTGGCTTCCTTGGATGAACAGTGCCGAAGACTGTGGCCCATTACCATCAGGAGGCTTTCTGCCATTGACAGCTTGGCTGCTGGGTATAGCAGCTCATCCTGAACAGAATTTCAGTCACGTGTTAGAATATTTCACTACATAAGAATAACAAGAAAATAAACGGGCTATGGGAATGCATGAACATATCCAGAAAGCAACCCATCAAAAAGAACAGAAGACCGCACAACACCCCCTTCTTTTTTTTTTTAACATGACCAAACCAATGAAAAAGTGGATAACATAAATAGAAAGAACAGAAAAAACAGGCTACCTGCTGAACTTTCAACAAGGTTGAAAACCCTGACTGACGCTGTGGTGGCTGCTCTCTGTAGGTGCTACTAGTGCCACTAAACAAGCTACGCTTCAGAGTAAAGGCACTCGCCCATATTCTGGCTTAAAATCATGGTTGCCAGTTATCTGAAGGTTTATCTGAAATCACAGGAAACCATTTTTTGTCCTCGAAAATGTTTACACAGTTCGAGACAAAGCAAAGCAATACCACATGAGCTTCCGAACGCTGAATCTAATGCTGAGGAAGTTGCACTTTTGAATCATGACGATCGGCAGTTCCGCCTGCTCTGCACAAGCACCAAAATGGCGGCACCCACAACAATGTCGGGGAACGAGGTGCCAATACTCTGCGCAGCTCATTTAGTGGCTCTAGGTGTTACATCTGTTAAAAACAGAGTCTGGGAGCAATAATTAAAATGATAGTTGTGTGTCATTGACCTTTTAAGTGTGTTTGCAAAAGCAGTCGAGGTCCTATTTGCCAACTTGTGCATCTAAAAAATTGTGCGGAATCGGATATGAAAATAATTTGGCAGAAACACGAAGCAAATGAAAAAGACAGGCCTTGTAAGCACTATAATTTGTTGGCCTAGTTGTTTGAACATCACGAAAATAGAAAGTGCCAAGTATAAGGACAATTGGAATACTACACTAGTCTTCCATTTGTCCTTGTCTTTTGCGCTATTTTCGTCTTGCAAGCACTCTTAGATGTAGCCTCCATATCAGCGACCAAAGCCAGCAACAGGATAAGAAAACAGCAGGTTCCTATTTACTGAAGTAAAAGAAAATGAGAGCAGAGAGTCGGCACTGTTTTTGTGTTCTGTATCTTATCCCTGTGTTTCTCCTTTCCACAGCCCCTTCTCCATACCTGTGGAAAGGAAAGGAGAAGGGGCTGTGTTCCTTTTCCTCTCCTGCTCGCCTCTCATTTAGGGGAAACGTTTCTGCTAAATTTAGCGGAAATCTTTCCCCGCTAAATTTCGCAGAAACATTTCCCCGCTAAATCTAGCAGAAAATTTTCCCCACTATATTTAGCGGGAAATTTTTCCACTAAATTTAGTAGAAACGTTTCCCCTAAATGAGACGCAAGCAGGAGAGGAAAAGGAACACAGCCCCTTCTCCGTAACTTTCCCTCCTCCTACAGAGATGCACTCTAATTCGGCATTACAGGGAGTTGTAAACGGCTTTCATTTTTTAAAGTTGTTTTAAGTGTGTGCCACATCATGTAAAACTGGGAACTTGAGTTACACAAGTTGCTTAGATGCTGCTTTGTCACTGACCTTAGTTTCATGCCTTAGCGGTGGAAAGAACAGTTTTCTGGACGGGCTAAAACGGATATCTCTGGTGCGGTGTCCAAGCGAGTATCTCTGTTGTGTAGAAACGGTCACTACCGATGGGAGTCACAAACATCTGCAAAGTGTCCCTGAGAAGAATTCCTCGACTGTGTGGACCACTTTTTCCACTTCTCAATTCAAGTGTGGAAACCGACCACCTGCCCTTGGTGTCTCTTTTTGGGAAGGTGGAGTTGGACATGCTTCCACACCCCATCCAACGTCTTTGCCTCAAGCTCATGCAGTATCACTTGAGGAGTGAGCAGTTGGTGTTCTGAACAGGCGTGTCAAGCGAGGCGTGCATGCGCCTGAAATGTCATAGCAACAAGTTTTTTTGTTTTATCCTTTTTTTTTAGTTTTGTTGGCAGGAGACGCTGTCAAAAGAGGCTCCTCAGGCATGTGCCAACAGGACTTTATCTGGTTGATCAGGTCGCACCATTCACCGTGCTGCGTGTCCTTACCTATACAGTATCTTACACCGTCACAATGTTTTCCAAGATTTTGATGCTATTAAATTCCTTGTTTCGTTTCGCAGAAATGCAGCTGCCATGTTTCCCTTGAGAAAAATATTCTCATTCAAGTTCTGAATCTATTGCCAGGTCAGCTGTCTACTCCTTGAATTGAAGAATATTGCATCAATTATATAAGTTCAGGGTGCAAAACAGAAGGAAAAGCATATTGCAATTATTGTACGCAATCAGCATTCCAGAACGAATATTTTAGCCCCTAGCATTGTGTATGAACAAGCAACCGTTTTGGTTTCGGTTTAATCGTTGTACGCCAGGCAATTTTGAGCTTTCGTCTTAAACAGGCCTCTCAGTTTAGGGAAGTAAATTTTCAAAGCGGCCGAGGCAACCGCTTCCCGCGCGCGCTCAACGTCAACCACCAATAAAACGTTTTGTGAGGTTATGAAATGCTCAAGGGCAAAGAGAAATTTAGACGTAACAAGTCACAAACCAGCTCGCTTCTTGACCCCGGGTTCGGCGAGGTAGGAGCATCCGACTCATCTTCAGAATCAGATGATGACGGGTCGGATGAGTCCTCCGACGATGACGGGTCCGGCGAGTCCTCCGACGATGACAACTTGTTCCCGGTCTCGTCCTCGCTTTCGGCTGCCGAGTCCATCGCAGCCGCCGTGTCGACTGTGATGGGACAACAATGATTTTCATTATGAGTGGTGAATGCCCGGATACAATCGTGTGGAAACCGTGGAAACAGAAAAGTTATAATGAATATATAACCCACCACAAGCGCGGTGGCCGGCATCTGCATTGTCTCCGTCGCTGTTGGCACACGATTGACTCTGTGGGGTCGCAGCTCTAGTGGCTCCAGTGGCTTGAGACTGGCCAGGTGTGTCGTTGTCCTCAGCATGGTTCTCGGAATCGTCCGACTCAACAGTAGGACGCTCGACAGTCCGACGATTCTTTATGCGGCACTTCGAGCGGATAGGAATCTTGCAATTGGTGTTCCAAAGGTATTCGCTGTACTGTCGCTTACCAGGCATTTCAGATTGCAAACGGCATCGGCGGCCTCAACAAACAGCAACAACCGGACCTTACGCCTCGCTGCTCACGGAGACGGCGGAAAACGCAACAAGCGAAAACTGCGAAAACGCCGACGCTGCCGACGCTACGACGCTACGTCAACTGGATTCGGTTCGTCCCTTCGCCACTCGCGGTAGAGCTATAACTCCCGCCGAACAAAAATATTATTGTACGTCACACATTTGCACCACTTTTAAGGTAACAAGAGTTCATCGGAGTCGCTGTAGTCACCCTGAAAAAAAAAAAAAGAAAAAAGGGAAACCCCGAAGGGCGAGTGCTTTTTGTGAATTAAAACGATTGGCTGTTTCTGACAATAAAATATTTTGCCTGAAACTGAAGTTGGTTGTTTTGTGCAACTCATTGGTTTCGGAGCGGCAATACTATTTTTCATTTTGGGCTACATCCAAGGAGGTTGCTACATCTCACCAACGTTAGTCGCAGTGTGACATCCGGACGTACAATCAGGCTAGGTGGCGCAAGCTGCTACCCAATACAAAGGGTACAGCCGCTAGCATTTATCTACCCACCCAATCCAATCCAAGCAACCAAGCCGCTTCTTTTCTTTCGTCTTTGTTGGCGGTTGCGTTGTTTGCGTGTTGTATCGGAAGGTTTACGGGGCCGGCGGTACGGGCAAGATGACACATATCCTTATTAAGTGGGTAGGCGAAGATAAGTGGGATGTTTATCCCGTTAAAGCGTTAGACAACCCGGCCATCGGTGTGCAGCTAATGTCTGAGGAGGGAGCTATAAAAAAATTACGCAGGCAGGTCGTTGATGTAAGATGGAAGGTGGATGAAGACCCGTCACCCGCCACGCTCTTAGATTTCGGTAAGTGTTGCTAAACTTTTTGACCGTTTGTTAGTATGGTTTAGTCATTTTCAGTGAAACAGCGTCGAAGAATGTGCGCGATGTCTTCTGTGTATGTTTATTTTTAGATAAAGGACGGCAGGCCGTTGAGTAGATGCAATTTTTCAAACAATGCACCTAGGCTCGAAACGTAGGTTTCCTACATTTTTAGCATTTGGTTGGTTGCCGACTTTTCTTTATTGTTTCCGAACCAGATAGGATTCTCTGAAATGTTTACTTTCATATTTATTTCTCGCAGGAAGTGAGGGAGCGATGGAAGGCAAGCGCACGCAAATGGCGAAGGGTGCGCCGGACGCCGGAGCCTCGACGGCAAAGGTTGGTATGCCGCTCTTATATAGGGTGATTGAAATAATGAGGCTTGCTGTTAAACGGACCGCGAAAATTGACTACACGCAGAGCAAATACTTTTGTCAGAAGTGTATTCTTCATTATCTATACTTGGCGTCAGTTCTCGTTACTTCGTTGTCAAAGCTACTTTCGCCAGCGTGTGACTTTTATGTTCTAGACCAGTGGTTCTCAAGCATGGATGTGTTGGGAACCCCTTGGGTACCCGCCACAGTTATGGGGGACCCCATGCCAGCGGGAGAAGGGGAAAGGGGGGGGGGTGCTATAATAGTACTAAAGACTACTAAGTGCAGTGTGTACTATAAAGACTACTAAGTGCAGTGTGAAAAGGGCATCCTTTACTGTTATATAGAGAGGAGAAGAGAGAAGCATCAAACAAATGGATGGATCGATGGTAATGACTGTACCCCGTATAAACTTGTGCCACCTAGCCAGGGTCAGCAAAAAACAGCTTTTCTTTTCATGCGAGGGTGTGCCAGGAAGCCTTGAGGCTTGACGCCAGGGACTCGCGGACCCCAGTGGGTCTGCGAAACTTCATTTGAGAACCACTGTTCTAAATAAAAGTCGTTCATGACATGCCATTGATTGCCTTTGTTTTAAAGAACTTCGTCTATGCATTTCAGTGTAGCTGTGAGGCTAAAATAAAGGTTCTCGAAGAAGAGAATGAGTTGCTCCGGGAGCGCCTCAGAGTCGCAGAAACTAACTGTGGTAAGTTCAACATTTTGTCGTTAACAAATCTGCTATATATTTCGGCGTTCCGTGATGTGACGCCTTTTTATAAATTTTTCACTGTTTACCAGCATGCCACCATTGTTGAATGAAGCAACCCCAGGCTAGCGTGGGTTGGCAACAAGATAAGTATTCAATACAAGTGCCAGCCACTAGCATTATGCACCTGCTTGATGTCCCCTGCTGTTGAGAAAATGGTTCTTTATAAACGCTGCAGTGCATCCTTTGCTTTGCGACATTGGGATTTCAGGCAGGAGACTAGTGGGCGAAAGTCGCTCCTGGTCGTGCGAGATGAGATGGTCGCGTTTGAAGAGAGGTATTTTTGGGAAAATGCACAAGATGTGGGCCAGGCCGGGCTTTGCATTTACCTCAACAAGATGTAAATCTGCCTTCGTGAATACCAAACACGAAACGGGCATGAATGGGCCCCTAAAATTTAGCGTCGATGTCAGACCAGACTGACTTGTAAATGGCCAGGCTTTTAAATATCGGCTTGTGCAGACCTTTACCGTAGGACTATTCTTGACAGCTGCACTTGTCAAAGGTACCACGTGTAGCAATTGAACTGTAGGAGGCCTTGACTTTTTTTACTCAAGCCAGCAGAGAAGCAAACTCCAGCAAAGCAGCTTAGTGGTGGCAAGTCACTCGAGTCTACTTCATGCAGCGTGCCACTTTAGTTGTGGTCACATCAACCTTTTTGCCTTGTCCTACAGAAACCACTGAGAAGACAGCTGATACTGTTACACTTTTGCCCCATAACCTTCTCTTTGTTGAGATAAATTTCAGCACATACTGTATGCAGTAAAAGCTATAGTTACCACCATGGCTATGTGGAAAGGTGAATGTGTTTCCCAACCTATTGGATGTGATCATATCCGTACTACACATAGCATACTCTCAGTTCACGGGCAAGTAAGAGGGCCACTTGCACAGGGACTAGAGAAGTTTGAAAAGGCCTTGTGTAGGGCCCCATTTCCAATGTCTGCTATCAAAGGCTGTATATTCTTATACCAATGCAATGATTATTGTGCCAACTTGTCGTGACTGAATTTCAGACTCTGCGAAGATGGCCAAGAAGTTGGAAAGAAGCCTGCGCCACCTAAACCGCCTGTGGGCAAGAAACGAGGAGGTGTTGGAAAGCCCTAAGGTATTGCTAGGAGTCAACACAGCAACTCCCTTGTTATGTCTGAATTATTGCACCTCTCGTAAAAGCATGTAGTGCATGCCAATGTGTGGCACGTTTTGTACACAGACACAATAATGTAGTGTAATCACTGTTGGTCGCACAAAAACCATATGCTCAAATTTTGTGCATCTTTTCAAATACAGCTGTAATTAGGCTTGTCTATAGCATGTGAGCGTGCGGCTTTCCCTGGTGAGCACTAGGCTAGTGGACAGACACAACTATGTTTGGCTTGTGGACATTCAAGATTTCCCGCATACTTATGCGGAGCGCAAGTTTGTCTGCTTCTTTCGCAGGGATTGTGGTGCCGTCAGAACGCCGAGCTCTGATTGAAGGATAGTGGGTAGGCTTGCTTTAAGTTGTATCGCAGAAAACACGTAGACATCCATACTGTTTAAATACAAACCTATTTGATCATCATTTCAAGTTTGGAGCTAGCTAGCTGACCGAGCGCCGAGATCAGTTGGAGTGGAAATGACGGTTGGTCAGAGCGCCAGCCTCGGGCTGCGCATGTTCATGCCTCAGTGATCTTTCTCACGTGCAAAGGTGCACTGACGCTCCAAGATGTCCAGCTGGATTCACCTTCAGTGAAACTGGTTTGTGACATGTCTGAGGTGTCAACAAACCAAGATTCATTGTCTACCACTCCTCCAATTTCATAATTAATATTTCCGATGTGAGATTTTCTCGTGTACGCATTTACCTTGTCGGTCCCCTCCCGCCTTCAAGAGGATGCCGCTACATGTTGACCTATGTGGGCCAAAGCGTGCATATGGTTGGCAAGCAGCCTCAAGCACTCAGCAATTCCAGATACACTTATGCGGACTGTTACATGCTATCCCACGTGACTAGACCAGTTTCCACTGATGCCATCAGCCTAGTGCTTGCCAGAGAAAGCCGCATGCTCGTGCATTATACACAAACTCATCTCTGTTACGTCACGGCGCAGTGGTGGCGCGTCGGTCGCACTTCAGGTCTGAAGCTGTGGGCAGAAGTCCCCATGCCAGACATGTATTCCTGCGTTGTTTTGAAAGTAGCCTGACAAAAATCTGCCTTCTCGTCAAAACGCCGCGACTGGGGCCGTACTAAAAGTATCGAGAACGGTTTGAAGGTCAGTTTTCACGTGCTTGGTTCGTCCGAGAATTTGGATATGTGCCGTGAAAAGGGAAAAGCAGACGCCGTCGCACAGCGATTGCTTGGGCAGGAAGCACCTTGGGTTGAATTCACGGATACTTGTGGTCATCAGATTTATTTGTTTTGTTCCAACATGAACTCCAGAAAACCGTCAAGTTGTGCAGACCACCTGCGGACTACGTTCAGTGCGCCTTCAAGTTCAAACGGCCGCCTGATTGTTTGAACTGTCGTCTGCTCTTTCAAACGTTTCTGCTTGTCGCCTGCTCTCTTAGACGATGCCGGCCCGTAGACCAAATGTTGGCCCGGTACTTGCGATAGGAAGTAAGTGCAGGCCTCAAAAGACTTAAATTATAAGGTTGGTAAGCAGGCTCGATGTAAACAGTAGATACAAAAAGATGTTGATCATTGTTACCAGCGACCATCACCGACTTGTTACCCCTAATTCACTTGGCCCGATTCTGCTTGCGATTTTCAGTATTGACGTCGACTATCTCGGCTACGGTACACACTTTTGCAGCCCGAGTGGCATTGCGACTGAAAATTGCGAGCGACATCGCATCATGCGAATCAGGCTTTAGCATACTTATTGCGGCGTCCACGCGGAATGAAGCGCTAGATGTCACATTATTCACGCAAAGTTTTGCGGTGTAACAAGCCTCGGTAATTTCGCTGACGCCACTCAAGCAGTCAGACATTGCCAGGAAGACGTATAATCAACAATTAGAACGCAAAAAAGAGCAGGGGGACTCGCACCGACGCCGGCAACATCGCATTTCCATGGTTTTTTTATGGTGCAACGTCGAGCTTCTTGCCCACACCCCCCATCTCGCATGCGCGGTGCCAGTGGCGTCCGCTAGGGGCGCTCCAGTTTGTTTGTAACCATGAGTTGGTGTATAGAAAAGCGTGATTTGCACTGTACCCTTTGCGTGTATGAGGCTGCATATGAGGCTTCATGAACATTGATGGGAAAGGCTCTGGCTTCCTTATTTAGTGGGGAGCTTTTGAACTGGCTTTTAACTAAAAGTTTCGAAGGATCGTAAGAGATTGGAGCCACATTCTTGTTTCCGATTGACATTTGAGTCTTCGCAGTTTTTAATTCTTGAAACTGTTTCTGGTTTAGGTCGACATCGGGTACGGCGTTCTCGTGGAGCAGGCGGCCTTAGCGGGCCTCAAGTCGGCAGGCGTTTCGGCATCAAAATACGTCAGGGGTCTCCTGAAGGTGGTGTTTTCGGAGGAGGAGCTGAAAGGCAAGAGCCTTCGGGGAAGGAAGTGCAATGCGCAGAAGGAGAGTGAAGTGAAGCCGGCCCTCGATCCAGTAAAACTCCATGCTGTCCTCGGTATGTAATCCTTCCTTATCCTTGTTGTACCTAAGTTTTTGCAAATGTCTCATTTTATTCTTGGGCGCTGCAATCTATATGTCATGGTCATGACCTTCAATCCGAATGCATTTTCTACCTTTGCATAGCAAAATAGTCAGTTTTAACTATTTTGGGAAGACACTACCTTGGAAGTTCAACTTTCAAGCCCTTGCTTAAAATAAATGAAAATAACAATGTTGACTGCTAATTATGATAAAGGATGCAGAAGGAAGTTCCAGCTCTGTGCACCGATTGTGAGGGAAATTACAATTCCTATTGGGAATACAGAAACATTGTTTGGTTAATCTATAGTTAAGAAACTAATGAAATACTCAGCAGTTTTCTTACTAGATGCAAGGCAGAATGCCTAAACAGTGGGGCTATTAAAGAATCTTGTCAAAAAAGGCTTATTTTTGGAAAAAGATTGTATTTCAAAGTGGAGCAACTTTTTGGCCATCTGTGTTCTTAAAAAAATTATAAATTATTTTGTAAAAACATTTGTAAAAAGCTGCATTCCTCATTAAATTTCACTCAGGATAAAATAAGTCTGCATCTTTGCTTTAGTCTCATGATCAAACGAGAAATTGCCAAATGAAAAAACTTTGAAAATATTCTTTATATGTTGGTGAGCCTGATTATAACATTAGTCAAATGTCTTTCAAAAACATATTTTGTTAGGCCATGTCTCCTTGGACGAGCTGAGCTCGTTGGATGCTTTCTAGTTAAAGATGCCATGGACGTCCAGTGGTTTTTTCTGTAGCCCTCAATTCCACAGACGAGCTAGGCTTGTCTGGATAGTTTGCGGCACTGATCATAGATGGCGAGTATTTTACAGCAGTTCAGCGATTTCTTCGTCGGTCAAGGGACGCGCCGGCGTTTGCTGAACGCCATTTTTCAAACAAACAGTCAAAGGTGTCATACACATACATTTTTGTGCTGCCATGTATGCATCGTTTTTAAAACTGAAAATGTTTCCGATACATGAGTATAGATGGTGCATCCTACCCACACTCTAAATTGAGCGGGCATTTAAATATGTGGTTCCCAACAGCAAAGAAAGTGCAGCGTGTCTATAGACGCGCCCCCCAATCTGCAGTCAAAATTGACGCACGTCTAAAGACAAAGACAATTGAGCGGAGTTGCCCTATAAATCACTTAAAAGGGTTATGACACGCCAAAAATAAAATATGAGATAACTATACTGCTAGGACCCATTGTATGTTCCTATAATCCTGCTAAATTTGTTTTGAAAAAGGTGCGATAATTGCGTGGATAAATCGATTTATATGCGGGCCCCTCGGAGGGGCAGATCCGGGCAGACCTGGAGGCTGATGACGTAGCCAGCCTCCAGCGCGGTGTCTCCTTGCACGCACTCAGACTCGGCTCTCTTGGCATATCGACTCTCAGCTTCTTCATTTACCTTCCACGTTTCCAGCTTCCGGTCTGTGACGATTACGTCTACGGCATCGCTCGCCTTGTCGAAGTGTTCGACGTTGATCGCAGCAGCGATGAGAGTGATTGCTATCAAGACATGTTGGAAGCTGTTCATTTTGACTGCGACCCGCTGGCGACCAGCTCCAGCGACGACGAGTTCGCCGTGGTCACTGTCGTCCGGGAATATCTCGCAGGCGCATGCAGGGTGGAAGGTCAACCGGCCGGGCGGCCAGAGCGAGAATAGCTTTCAGTTTACCGAGTTGTTTCAGCGGTTTTGTTCATTCTGCGACGAGAAGAGCTTAGGCGATCATGGGGGCACCTAGAATTAGAGTGTGTCCATGGCCACGTGGTTTATGGACACCATGGTGTGACTAACTTGAGCAGTGTTGCCTGGTCGCCAGATGAAAATTATAAAAATTCGTAAATTGAATATTGCAATTACCAGAGCTCTAAAAATTGCATAACTTGGTGTATATACTAAGTCGCCTATGAGCATTCCATTTCAAGAATAATTATCTATTTAATTTTCGTGTCATAACCCCTTTAAGTGCGAGACACATGCGCGAAAAATCCATCCGATCCAACGTCCGATCCGGCAGTACGACTGCCTGGTCCGAAAACTTTGGTCGCTTCAAACGTCAGATCGGCGAACCGGCGCGCGTCCAACGTGCCAAATAGTTTCGCACGGCAGACGGACTGTCGGAAGCGTCCAGCCAATCGCAGCACAGCTAGCGCGAACGTCATGATGACGTACTGGGTCAGGCGGAAAAACGGGACGGGTGACGGGAATCCGGACACGTGGATCCCGCTAACCCATTCGAAAAAGATGGCCCCGGCAAAGAATGCATGCTCTAGCGAGAACGACCTCCTAACTTCGCTCGTGCGAGCTAAACCGTCATTCTGGGACCAGCAGATCTATGAACGCCGACCTCCGCTGGAGTGCTTGGATCTCCTGGGCGGAGCCGAACGGATCATTGTGTCGCATGCAAGGTCGGAAGCGTGTGTCTCAAACTGCCGCGCGCGGCAATTCGGAGCGGCGTTCGGACTGTCGGATGGAACGATTCTGCCGTTCATCTGTCTCGCGCTTTGTTCAGAAAATGGTCTGTTTTCTGCTCCATAATATGTTCCTTTCTGCAACCCTAGCTGCTAGAAAAAGCGAGTTCTTTTTCCACCTTTCCACCACGTTCGTTTTCATCCATGTTGCGCTACGGTCAAATGCTCAAATGCGTAGGTAACCACGTTCCGTACCACACATTCTCTTTCTGACATGGATGAAAAGGAACGAAAGGCTCGGCATGCTGCGGCTCACCGTCTACGCAGACAAGCACCACCAGAGCTTCGCCCCAATCAACATCATTCACCACGTGGAGATGCTTTTTTTTTTTCCCCTACACGAGCACGTGAGCTCACGAGCAGGAGCACGTGCACCCGACGGCGGACGGACATTCGGACATGGCTAGCCCCTAAGGAGCTTTGCCCCTAAAAGGCAACCTTTATTTTCGGGCTTGGCTGATGAGGCAGGGCTTTGCGGACCGCTAGAATGCCTTTGCAAACCCTCATTTGAGAACCACTGCTCTAATTTATCAAAAGAAAACTTCTATAGATTTGTTAGATACCTTCGCTATATGGCTCTGAGGCAAAGCATCGTCCTATGGGTCCACAGTTTGTTGGGTTCGCATTCCAGCCGATGGGCCCACAATGACAGGCTTACGGGGCTTACGAGCACTGTGTAACTAAGACTTCGGCTGCTCATCGAATATTCCTAGGGGCTTGAGATTAATCCTTTGTCCTTAGTGGGACGTGCGTTGGTTTCACATGGAAACATCCAAAATTTAATATTTTTATATAGCATAACCTAAAATAAACTTCAGAATTTCACAGCTTTCTAAAACATGGACCTCTAAGGTCTCATTTGCCTTGTGTCTTAATCATTTGTTTCATTTTTTTCTCATTTCAGACTACACCTGCAAGGAGTACAAGGGGGTCGCCCTCTTGACTCTCACCACGAGCCTTTCCACACTGTTGTGCAGGGACATGAAATACGTAAAATGCTGCTACTGTCTTTCATTATTTCCTTGCTCGATTCCAGTCCGTAAAATCTTTTGGATTTGCTTATTTTTGGTTTGCATGATAATTCCCTCTCCCCAGGTCACATCTTGAAAAGAAAAAAAATGAGTAAGGCAATAAATTACAGCCTCAATTTGCCAGCCCAAAACTCCAAAGCAATATATTGCATTGATTGAAAATGCTGAAATGACAACACTGCCGAACAATGCGGTCTCCATAAAATAAGGTATCATTTAAAGTGACCCTGCCCACATTTACCTTGTCGGTAATTTAGAGGCTTTCATACAGCTTTTCATGGGTGCCGCCACCTTGACGTTATCTGACCCTGCTTCATTAGCCAGCATTCAGTTTGTTGCTAGTGCTCAGCTGCATTCTCTGCTGAACCAGAAACCACCAAAGCTTTATTTTAAAGCTTTTTTTTTATTTTGTGCCTAAATTGTGCAATTTCCTGAGGGTATTTGGGTATATTGGGGTATCGGTTAATCGGCTAATATCTATACTGCGTATCCCAAAGAAAATGTTCAACCAAGACTAAAATATGCCGCAAAAACAAGCTACTCAATTCATCCAAGTAGGCTTTCCTCGGAGACATCTTTTTTGTGCATCAAAAGGTCAAATCTAAACTCGAAGTACGTTAAAAATTAAAAAGCTTACTTTCCGAAGGACGGCCTTGTGCTTCAATTTCGTCATCTTTTTATGTTTTGTGCGTGGAAAATTTTTAAAGTGGAAATGAGAAAACAAAATGTATATTTGTGGAGGGTTTCTTTTTGATGCGTAGAGTTTCTAATTTTTGCAGGCCATTAAATTCAGCGTTGAATTTTTTGAGGAGACTCCCAATGTTTACGTCTTTGTTAGAAATGAAATTCACATAACGCAGTGAGAGTTTTGCAAATATTAATTTCGTGCAGTAAGGTTATTGCAGCCGTGTTCCTTCTGCATGTGTGTGCACTTCATACATTGTTTTCATAAATTAATTATGAGGTAGTTGGTCAATGCTGTGTGCTTCAAAATGAATTAGTGCCGACAGCCAATGTGTTGGATTGAGTCTCATGCGAACGCATAGTTGTCAATTTACATGCGTGGCTCATATAAAAGGGCCACTAATCAAGTCTAAAATGCTCTGCTCAGGGTTATTCAGATATGAAAACATGTATTCTAAGCGACTGTGTTCCCACTGCTGCATCTACTGTCGTTTCTGGTCATGTTCTGTGCAGGAGAGAGGTGACATAGTAGCCCCTGAATTACATAACTTTGATCATCCTTGTATCATGGGCACAAAAAACATGCCATATGTTTACTTTTGCAGAACATTCAATATTCAACTTTGACGGGAACAAATTTACATTCACTGAACCACTGGATGTGGGTTACGCATGTCATAGCGGGCGTCCATCACGTATGAACAGCCTCAAGCGCAGTAATCAAGGTCTTGAGCTGGTTAACTGCAGGCAAAAAATGACAGACACAACCAAAATCGAAGATTGGCAATGGCGGCTCCACGAGCGCGCCGACTGGTGGTGCTATGAATGACTGACACATTGAATGCATCTATGGATGATGAAGTGCATTACTATATGTGTTTTTCATTTCTTTTCATTATAGGCTACAGACACAAGCATGCGGCGGGACCAACAAGGTGCAATTTAAGTGTATAAATAAACTTATTCTTCACTCTTTGATGCAGCATTTATTCATATGCTGTGGCTAATTTGCTTTAATAACCCACTATTGACGCACTTAGAATGCAGTTGCAAAAATTCTATTGAAACACATTGCAAAAATTTTATTGAAACTCAATAGCAAAACTTCTAGTGAAGCTCAATTGCAAAAATTCGATTGAAGCGCTATATTGCCAAGAAATTTATTGAAAATGGATTGCGAAAATTCAATTGAAATGCTACTGCCAAAAATTCTATTGAAACTCAATTGCGAAAATTATACTGAAACTCAATTGCAAACATTCTATTGAAACTCAATTGCAAACAATCTATTGACACTCAATTGCAAACATTCTATTGAAACTCAATCGCAGATAATCTATTGACACTCAATTGCAAACATTCTATTGAAACTCAATTGCAAACATTCTATTGAAACACAATTGTAAAGATTCTATTGAAACTCAATTGCGAAGATTCTATTGAAACGCTATTGCAAAGATTCTATTGAAACACTATTGCCAAAAATTCAATTAAGAATCGGTGGCCAATACCCTGGGACGGTTCAATACAAACACGTTAGAAAAAGTCAATTGAGTTTCAATTGAGACTCTATGCGGTATATTGACTGCACCCTATTGACTTTCAATTGAAACTCAATTAATTTTTTTGTAAGGGTATGGGTCAGCGCGGCGATCTGCTCTTAAGATGCTTGACCCAATACACCACCTTGGACTACGACTTTCTACAGGTGCATTTCGCACATCTCCTGTGAAGAGTTTGTATGTTGATACGCATCAAATGTCCCTCGAGAAGCGGAGGCAGTACCTCAGCGTCTCTTATGCTTACAAAGCATTTTCAAATCCAAAACATCCCTCCTACAGTGCCCTTCATACTTGCAGAAACTCACAGCTTTTCGAAAACAAGCCGAGCATTGTTAGACCATTAAGCCTCCGTTTGCAAAGTACTTGTCAATACTTTAATATCCCCCTTCATGAGATTCCCTTGCTTAAAAACACTCGTAGTGTTGCCCCTTGGGATGCTCTGCCGATTTTCTGTGACTGGTCACTCGCAAAATACAGTAAGAGGGTCATTTCACCACAAATTCTCCGGCAGGAGTTCCTCTCCTTGCAACAAAAATATGCAGACTACCTGGAGTTTTATACAGATGGGTCCAAATCGTCGTCTTTTGTAGGGTGTGCTCTGTATTCCGCCTCCTACAGCAAAGCCACAAAAGTTGACTGTAGGGCAAGCATTTTCACCGCAGAGCTTTATGCTATTTTACTTGCGGTCGAACATATACTCGACAATAGTATAATGAAAGCTGTAATTTTTGTCGACTCACAAAGTGCCTTATTGGCTGTGTCCTCCCTGATTCCCACAAAGAATCGCCTTGCACAACATCTACATAATAAGATCAATAGCGCCCTGTGACGAGGTCGGGACATTAAGTTCTGCTGGGTGCCAAGCCACGTTGGGATTTTGGGCAATGAAGAGGCGGATAAATTGGCCGTGTCTGCCCGAGGCTCGTCTATAACATTCAATTGCTTACCTTACCAAGATTTGAAACCAGTTCTGAGGAAATCTATTTTTCTCAAATGGCAGCTGGAATGGGATACGGAGAGCAACAATAAACTTCACATTATCAAGCCCCTTCTGGATGTTTGGGAGAGCTCCTATAACAAGGCACGTCGTGTGGAGGTTCTTCTGTGCCGTCTAAGAATAGGTCACACCCGCGTGACACATCAGTATCTGCTTCGTGGTGAGGATGTTGCACTATGTGAACATTGTGGAGAGCTTCTGACCGTGTTGCACATTTTGTGGCATTGTTCGTCCCATCAACCACTCCGTCAATCATGTTTTCTCGAACTGTTTAGGGATCATCTCCCATTTCATCCTTCGTTTTTGCTTGGTGATAAACCTTTAGTTCCTTTTAGCCGTGTCTTAGACTATTTAAAACAAACAGGATATTTATACCATTTGTAAATATGTAGCCTCAAAATAAACTTTTGTTATATTATGCTCTAAATATAAAGTTTGGCGCATTATGGCTTTCGTTGCTGCTGCGCCAATAAACTCGTAATCATCATCATCAACATCATTCAGCAATAAACTTTATAAAAAGAAATGCGTTAATCATTCGATATTTGCCAGTTGGTTCTGCAAAGATTGTTAGCGAGTGACAAGATTTTAGAGAATCTTCCCGGTCAGCAGAAAGAACAAGCCCTCAGGTTCTCAGAATTAGCTTATGCCTCGCACAATATTCAGACTGAATGCGTGTGGCGCGTTCAGTCATAACAGCTCAAACAAACAAACAAAAGCAAAGACAAAAAAAATAGCTGTTACAAAAAGAGCCCCGGCATGACAGATTTTCACAGAAACCGTTACACTGTGCGGTTATTGTACATAGTAATTTCGAAGCTCATTCACAGAAAGCGAGTCCAGTTGAAAGTCACGACTAATAAAGCTGGTAAGTAAATGTGGTAAAGTATAATTTAACATTTGCAGGCCATAGCTAGTTCTATGAGGTACCATCCTCCAATATTCAGCGTGCCGTGTAGGATAGGTTACAACATTTCTAGTTAACCTCGCGAGAGTCGTCAGGAATTGTGAGTTTCGTTTTTGATCTCTTTTAAAACCAGCGGTCAACCTGTAACTGTACAAGTTATGTATGGCTATGACAGCGTATTTTTTGAACATACCAGCAGTATGAAAGTCATGTGGGGCGTTGCAGATAATTCTAACCATTTTCTTTTGAAGCAGGAATATCTTTTCTAGGTTTCCAGCTGTGGTCGTGCCCCAGATAAGGTGGCAATAGCTGAGATAAGAGAAAAAAAGAGAGTTGTAAATAATCAGTTTGGCGGAAGTTGGTAAGATAGAGCGGTTGCGGTTTGCTAATCCAACAATGCTAGATAATTTAGATATTACATATTGTACATGGTTATCCCATCACATGCTCTCAGAAAAGATGACTCCAAGTGTCTTAAAACTATTAACGATTTCAATGGGCATTGTGTTTAAGATGAGGCTATTAGCGCATGATAAAGCCTTACTTTTCGGACGAAAAAGAATGGCTTTCGTTTTATTTGTGTTTATTTGCAATGAATTTGCCTGTGCCCAAGACTCCAGTTTTGATAACGTTATATTTGCATGGGCTATCAGTAAATTTGGCTCGTCAGCGGAAAAAAATATGCTAGTATCGTCCGCATAAATGACTAGTTTAATCGTTTGATCTATGTTCACTATATCGTTTACATATATATTGAATAGAAAGGGACCTAGAATGCTTCCTTGAGGGACACCTGACGTGATAGTTCTCGTTGCAGATGAATGGCCGTTTAGGTATACGTACTGTTGTCGGTGTTTAAGGTAGGAGTTCAGAAGCATTAACGGGCCGCCTCGAAAACCATAATGTTCGAGTTTCTGTAAGAGTATTTTATGATTTAGGCTATCGAAAGCTTTAGTGAAATCGATGAAAACACCAAGCACTAGTTTTCTATTTTCGAATTGCTCTAGAATATGTTCTTTTTGTGCTAGGAGGGCCGCTTCAGTTGAAAGATTTTTTCTAAAGCCAAATTGAGCCGAGTTTAATAAACCACACCTGCCAGAAAATTGGCTAAACCGGTGATGTAGCACTTTCTCAAGAACCTTTGAAAAGACTGGGAGTATCGAAATAGGGCGGTAGTTTCCTACGTCATCTTTCGCACCCTTCTTATGCAGCACTAACACTTTGGCCAATTGCATCCCTTTAGGAAAAACACTCGTAGCAATAGCAACATTAAAAAAATGCGTTAGCAAGGGAGCAATAAGATCTATAACATACTTCACCGGGCGAATCTGAATATTGTCGGCGTCAGTGGAACCACTATTTTTTAATAGCATTGTTATAGAGATTACTTCCATCGGAACAACTGGGTCCAAAAACATAGAGTTAACATTGCTTTGATCAATGTGTCTGTATGCATTAGGGTTGGTTGGAGTGTTGCCAAATTTAATAAAGAATTCATTAAACACATCTGCCAAGAGGCCTCCCGTTAATTTTTCTCCATTTAAAGTCAACTCGTCAACAGAACCCGATGAGCAATTACGATGTAGCAACATGTTTAGGTTTTTCCACATGATATCCGAACGCCCCTCGGATGACTTAAACAATGCATTGTAATAGCGCGTCCTCGCACGACGTAATTCTTTTGTCAGATTGTTGCGGTACGCTTTAAATATCCGAAGCTTTTCCGGCTCTCTTGTTCTTAAAAACCGCTTATATAATAAATCCTTGTGGTTAATTTGACATAAAAGATCTTTTGTTACCCACGGTTTTCGCGCATTTTTTGATTCCTTCATAAGTTTAGACGGGAAGTGAGAATCATATATATGTTTGAATTCATTCATGAACGCGTCATAAGCATCATCGGCATCATTTTTAAGGTACACCGCACTCCAATCGGCATTCGAAATGCACTGACGGAAAGCATCTAGCTTGTCTAAGGTTATAGGTTGAAAATATACTTCGCAATTGTTTTTAGCATTTTTTCGTAAAGTTGGTTCTACGCACAAAAATATAGGAAGATGGTCACTCAAATCACAGCCTATTACACCAGATTTGTGTTGTTTATCAAAATTAGTTATAAACAGATCGATAAGGGTCTCAGATTTTAATCGTACCCGAGTTGGAGCAGATACGGTGTTCACGCAGCAGTTTTCATTCATAATAGTGATCATATCGCGTTTCGTAGCACTGTCAACAAGCATGTTTATATTAAAATCACCGCCGCAGATAATATTGTAATTGCACTCGTTTACAAACCTAAGAAAAGTATGAAAAAACTCAAAAAATGTCGTGACGTTGCCATCGGGTGGTCGATAACAAACAGCAAACACATTCTGGTTATTACGCAAACATAGTATCTCATAATCTTTGGTGACAGCACTGAAGTCGCTAAGTATTTCACAGCACAAATTCTTTTTAGTTAAAAGGGCAACTCCCCCTCC